CTGCCTCGGGCGACAACGGCTTCCGATCTTCTTCCCGATCACGATCATAAAGCTGAAACAAATTGGGGGTCGCTTGACTTTCCTTTCCTCCTGGATACAAGTTCATCATACCTTCATAGTACTCCTTCTCCATGTATAAGGCAATCGTTCCATCTTCTTCCTTTTCGATCACCTTTCCCAGAAAACGAATTCTGTCTTCTTCAAGCTTTCCGGTGACTTTCAGTCTAAGCTTCTTCGATAACTCATCAACGAGCTTCTGAATATTCCGATCGTCTCCAACAACCAACAAATCATCAACATACATCAAAACGATCAAGTGATTCTCCTCTTCCGTCTCTGCAACTCCTTTTCTGTATCTTCCGGCGAAGATCGTCTTTTCCGTCACACATGCTGTCAAACCTTCTTGATCTAACAAGTCGGCTAGGTGACGATACCATGACATTCCTGCAGAACGAAGTCCGTTCATCGCTTTCTCAAGAATGACGAACAAAGGCTCTCCGGCTTCATCTTCCATCCCAGTCGGCAACGAAACGACCGCTGGGTGAATCACGGAGGCATGCAAGAATGCTGTACTTACATCTAAAACCCATGCTGTCTTTCCAACTCCTCCTTTCTTTGATTTCTTTCGAAAACTTGAATTCTGAGCAAGATAAGACAACACCACTTTCAACGCCTCTGATGACGCTGTAGGGCTTGAGACGCCCAACTCGGCTGCTGACGGACCTGTGGCCAAATCACGGACAACAAGTCTCGATCGAACGATGTCTCCTTTGATAGCATATTATTTACAACTACCCATCGGGTTGAGATGATTCGGATACCATGCATCTTGCAATACTCTTGCGCTTCATCTTTATTCACGACCTGACCTGTCCTGTGCTTCTCTAGGGCAATGACCTCTGTGTGCGTTCCCTCGAACGTTGCGTCCACATCTAATGGACCTTCACCTATATCTGAAGTCGCTCTTGATGGCTTTCGGAGTACAATCCATCTACCACCAAACCACACTTTACAATAATCGGCCTTCGTGTCGAACTTGGACTCTTCGGTTTCCTTTGGTACCTTCCTGCTATACTCAAGTACCCCCTCTTGAACTGATGACAAGAACCTTTCAACCTCATCATCCGAACATCTTGACAAGGGGTCTTTCACTTTTTCCCACAACTCTTTACCTAGATCTGATAAGCTCGCAATGGCATTACCTTGATGATCATACATGTAGAGCTGCTTGATTGGCAATTCGGTGAACCCTTTCCAATGACGCCTCAATGGCGCGGTCTGAGTTCCGAACTCGCTGACATGGACCTTGAACTGGGCCCTTGGAATTTCATCGACTGGCCTTTCATCAACAGCATCGACGTAGTACGTCCTCTGAATACCTACCAGCTGATCCTCAGGCATCGGCAATGGCAGTGATGATGCTGCAAAAACACATTTTCGACTTCTGCGGTGAACTCTTCTCAACACAAGCTTGTCAAGGTCAACTTCCCAATGGTCATGATTTCAGTCCTTTCCCCTTTTTGGAATTTCCTGGAACAGATCAATGTCCATGGGACTCTCACCGGGTGACTCAGGTGCTCTGAACCTTCCGGTACTTCTGTCGGCTCATAGCCTTCACTCATCCGATCATCCTCGATAGGTTCCGGATTCTTTCCGGGCTCATACGGATTCGGTAGATCCTCCTGCATTGGTGTCGGTTCGGTATCCGATTCCTGTCCCTTTGGCACATGGAATGGAACATCATCAAACTCTGGAAATCTCTGCCCGGTCTCTTTCTCTTCATGCCCGCGATGAAATCTATCCCACTCTTCATCTATAAACTTTCTCTTCCTCTTCTCTCGTTCTGACTCTGATTCTGGACTTCTTCTTCCCGACTCTTGCTGAGATTCAGGCTTTCGTTCGGTATCCATACCTTCTTCCAATCCCTCAGGCACGACGGGCACAGATGACTCGTCTTCAATCGGTACTATCCCTTTGTACTCCTCTTCAAGGTACTTCTTGTAACGGTTCCGACACTTGACTAAATGACCTGTTTCACTCCCGTTCGAACAAGCTGGACATCTCCAAGTCTTATTCACTTCACTCCAATACCAAGGTGGTTCCCCTTCATGGATGGGCAAATCAACCAACTTCTGGGGTTTCAAAAGATCAGTCAGTAGTCTTTCGGTCCTGTCTGGCTTCACTCCACTCTTGGAATTCGGAAATTCACACAACATCCCAAGTCCAGCGACAAAACGAATCGGTGAGGCAATCTTCAAGTCTCGAACAGGCACAACTACGGTCTCATCCTGTGAACCTTCGAAGGCAACGAAGTGACCTAACGAAGATAACTTTGGGGTCAAATAAATGCCTGGAACAAAATGACGAGCGTTTGCTTCTCTGATTTTCTCCAAGTACCCATCAGTCGGCCTGGCAAAAACCAAACATCCAAATGGCATCACACGATTGGTGTTTGGAACTTCTCCTGAACTAGTTACACTGATGCGCATGCGTTGATACGGTGTCAGTGAGCTGTTGACCTGCAGCTGAAATGCATTGTGGACATGACAAGCGTTTGCTGCGGCGTATCGAAGGCTTTGACTACCTAGCATCAACCCGTGCTGGTACAATACTGTACGTATACACCCTAGTTGAGTCTTGAGGGTCCTCACTGCTCTCTCGGCTCCAGTCGCGTGTCTTCCTGGACGGCTGGTCTCATGCCTTGAGACGACCTTCAACCGAATGAGTTCAGAAATGAGCGCAGTCAAGTCACGGCCTTCATCGCTGAGAACCATCGCACCTGTGGACGAACAATGGTTGATGGCAGCACGAATCGTCGAAGCTTGGTCTACATAGATTGCAGCTGTTGCTATCATACCATGCGTCCGATTCCAAATCACAACATACCTATACATATTTGGAGACTTTGGATGGGTGCATAGGTTGGCAATATCCATCTGGACCTCGTTGGTGACTTGATCGGTACGTTTTGGCGCTCGTTTCAATCCCTTGCTCATGAGACAGACTGCACAGCTTGGATCATAAGGTGTGTGACTCTGCAAAATGTGCTTGGCTAGTCTGTTACCTCGCAACTCGACGGGATACTCGAACTCAGGCTCCGACTCAACAGTGCAAACGACTCTCTGTTTTACGCGCACGGCGTCGACATGCTTCGAAAAATGCGCTGCTCTTATCTTTGGCTCTGCCTCCATTTTGGAGGTGGCTTGAACATCCCATCCTATGCCTCGTCCGAAAACTTGGAGAGGTGTTCTTGAAGATCCTTGCGGTAAGCCAACTCCGCTTCTGTGATCGGCGCCTGAAGCGCCTCTGGCGGCGTCGTAGCTGGGTTCGCTACTGATGCCGTTGCTGGTGCTGGCGTCAATGTCACCGCTTCTGACGCCGGCTGCTCGGACGCCGGCTGCAAGGACACCCTTCTCGCTTTCGCCAGGTTCTCTCGATCTTCTTCTTCTGCTCGCCATTGCAGGAGCTCTCGTTTTCCTTTCTCGAACTCTTCCTGTCGCGCTGACGCTGGATCTCCTTTCCATGTTCCAAGGCCTGCATTTTCTCTGATCGATACAGCGCCTTCGCCTTTCGGCGATCTTCCTCTTCCTTCTCGCGACGGGCAAGTTCCTCTTCCCATTCCTTCGCTCCTGCTTCTCTCTCTGAGGACAACTCGGTGCGAAACAGGTGGGCTCTCTGATCTTCGGTCAGATTCTCCCGATATTTCGGTACCACTTTCTTCACTCCCGAGGCTGACGCGGTGGATTCTTTCTCTTTCTTGTCTCGAGCCTCCTGAATCCGCCGATACTTCTCTGCGGCTTCCTGAGGGTCGCAATACCCCTCTTCTCTGCCTCTCTTGAACTCTTGAACGCAGCCGTCGCCGATTCTTCGCCTCGGTAAGCTTGGCCTTGTCGACCTTTCGGATCAGATCCTGGGCCTTTTGTGCCAGATTCTTCTTCCGGCTTGACGATCGCCGGGGTCATAGGTGTCTCCATCGGAGATGGAACTGGTGGCTGCTTTGGCGGCGGAATTGGTGGCTGTTTGGCCGGTGGTGCCATTCGGGCGGCGGCCCGGCGGGGGCTTTGGGCCGATAGGCCGAGATTTGGCTTTCGGTAAGATCGAAGACGATCTTCGCTGCTTGACCGATTCGTCCAATCTCTTCAGGTTCTCCTCTGTCAGCTCGAGGACTGGGAGTATCTCGCTCTGGGCTGTCTCCGACATCAAGTCGGAAGTATTGGCACGCTGAGCGCTGAGTTGTCTGCTGGTCTCATAAGTGACCGAACCTGGGACGTTGCGGTCGGCGCTTCATAAAGTACGCCGTCCCTGGCTTGACTTCCTGCGCCCGCTTGGTCAAATCCCCACTCTCTGTGGCGGAGATGCGGAGAGGGATCTTACAGAGTCCAACCCTGAACACACAGAAAAGAACCTCGCA